CCACCATCAGCAGGGACATGGGGGTCCTGCACTCATGAGCCCACCCTGATGAGCTGAGAGGTGAGGCTGAGATGTCCTGATGGTACTGATGTCCCTCCTCAGCATCCCCAGCACTGCTGGGGACAGTGACAACATCCTTTGTCACCCCTTTCCCCAGGGATGCTAACATGGGTGTCAGGTCATTCTCACAGATGAGCTTTTTACCCGAAAACTTGGCTTTTCTCCCCAAACAAGAGCTCATGTCAGCACAAACATCTCTAGTCCCTTCTGTGCGGGTGGAAGGCACAATGCCCACCCTGTGACACCGTTTGTGCCCCTCCAGAGTCCCCGGCAGCATCACTCACCCTGCTGATGGCCAGGAGGAAGTCCAGCTTGTGGGACTTGGGGACGGAGTGACGCAGCTTCCAGTAGACAAGGTGCTCCCAGGCGAAGACCAGCAGGCTCAGCCCCATGGCCACCAGCAGCATGTAGAAAACCCCGGCCATGTTGTCGATGTCCAGCTTGCTGCTCATCACCTCGTTCTTCTCATTCTGGCAGATCCCTGACAGCCAAACCGTCTCCAGCTTCTGGGTCTCTCCTGGGACCGGACACACACAGTGACGGGATGTGTGAAAATGCCTCTCTCAGACACCATCCCCAAGCGCAGCCCCTGCCCATCCCATGGGCTGGAGGAGGAGAAAGCCACCCTCAAGCCCTTGGAGTTGTAACTGCCCAGTCCTTGCTGCTGCCCTTGGCCTGAGCATCCCACCAGTCATTTGTCCCTCTCCAGGGCCCCCTCCTGTCTCTGTCCCGCACCCATGGGCCAGCCAGCCATGCTCAGTCCCCTTCCCAGGTTTTGTGCATGGCCATCTCCAGGATTTTACAGCCTGCAAGAAGAGGAAATGACCTCCCAGTGACCAGCTGGAGAGATGCTGCTGGTCCCATCACAGGACTTGGTGGAAAAGCTCCTTGGTGACATCCTGCAAGGAGCTGTGGAGGCTGTAGAGGGTCTGAGGACCACAGCCTTTGCCCTGGGTTAATTTGCGGAGCAGGGATGGGGTGAGGATGAGGACAGGGTTAATCTCGCCAGGGCACCCACCATCTCCCAGGAACTGGAGCAGGGCCAGGTCGATGGCTCGCTTCCAACGCGAGTCCTTCTGCAGGGCGATGCCGTAGCCCGTGGTGGCAAACACCTTCCCGCTGCCGATGGTCACCAGCTTGCAGCCCTCGTCCTTGCCCGCCATGTAGTTGAGCACGGCCGCGTCGTAGATGAAGGCATCCAGCTTCCTGCCCCACCGACAGGATGGAGGGTGAGCAGGTCTGGCACCCCTTTTTGGGGGGATGTACCTCTTATGGGTGAACTCTACCCCCTTCAGATAGCTGTAGCCCATCTGGAGGGAGGGTTGTGTCCTCTTCAGGGGGTCTCTGCCCCATCTGGGAGAGCTATAGCCCCCCTTGGGGTCAAGTACCCAATTGGAGGAGAGTCGCACCTGTTTTTTGGGGAGCTGTATGAAGCTGTACCCCATCTACAGGTGGTCGTACCCTGTTTGGGGGGGCCTGGACTTCATGCAGAGAAGCTGGCACGGAGCCATACACCATCTAGGGGAGCTACCTGGGGTGTCCCTATCGCATGGGGAGGGAGGGGAGGCTGTAGCCCAGTTGAGGAAGCCCTGTCTCATCTGGGAGGCACTGCACCCATCCCCACGGAGCTGTAGTTCGTTTGGGGGAGCCATACCCCATTTTGAGGCTGGTGAGGGCATCCTCCACGGAGCGCTGGTTGTACTTCACCATGTGGGTGTGCATGTCGGGGTAGTTGCTGCGGATGTTCCTATCGGTGCTGCCGGTGGGGACGGTCCCGAAGCGGGAGGGCGGGGACGGCTCC